TACAATACATATATATATATATATACGATTTATGATTACCATTGAATCATGTTGTGTTATTGTGTGGCATCAAGATATATAGACATGAATGTGTCTTTGCTTTGGAGAAAATAGTCTAATCAAAAGGTATAGCTTCAGCTACCTGAGTTCTCTTTGTGTTTAGAAAAACTGTATATAAATTATATTGTCTCAGAACAACTTTGTACTGCACAGTATATCACAGTGTTCAGCCCATCCGTCGTAGTCTGTCGCCTTTCCATTACTGTTCCCATGGTGTGCGCCTTCCACTTACATATCCCACGGGAGCCCAATGAACCACTAGCAAAGAAAATGCTAATTGCTCGGCAGCCATTGCCAGGGCGAGGTTTGCTACCATAGCCATAAGCAAAATGGAAAGAGAACCTACAAGCGCTCGGTTTCTCGACTTTCTCAAAGCATCAGCTACCAAAGCTCAAACACACTCGGTTTCACACACCGTGCTAAGCTGCCGACTGGTTTATTCTAAAAAGCATTCGGCAGAAGTAGCCTCTTTGCACACCGGGCTACTGGACCTGCCGAAGGAAGCTGAAAACATCTGAAAACAAACAATGCCCGCTGCGACCGCAAAAGCACCGCTTAACACATATTATACGATATTGTGCACCACCCAAAGCTTAAAGCACATCCACATGGCACATTCTCTTCCAACAAAGGCAGCGCAAGACTTACTGAGGACTCAATCTTGATAGAAACGACTACAACCACCAGAAATAATAGCAATGAAGAATCCTCACTTAGAGCCTATGATCACTACAATGCACTAGAAAGCACGGGCGGCTTATCAGTATTTAAAACATAGTTTGGAGGATGAACATCCTGGGGATGGTGATGTTGAAGACACATGTCATTTGATGGTCATTTGTTTTGGACTCTGACCTTTTTGGTGGTCATGTGTCACCTTCTTTTTCGCGCACGCACGGACACCGTGCAGCTCTGAGGAGTGCCCCGGTGTCTCGCAGCTCTGAAGTGCCGGAGGAGCACCGTGGGAGTGCACCGAGGGAACGAAGACTCTTGGTGAAAAAGAGTGTCCTGGTGTTTGGTCAAATGCGCTCAAATCACTGAATGGGCTCGCAATAGTGTCCTGAAAACATCTGAAACGTGTTCTATAATTCAGGGTCTTATTCTATAGCTACTATAGCGCTCAGGGGCCAGGGTTGTAGCAGATCTGATGAGTTTCTTCCACTTCCAAAGGTCTGAACACCGATCTCCGCCCGGGTCTCGGTCTCTGGGCTGGGCTGAAATCACATGCTGCCACGGCTCCACAGGCTGGGTCCGCACGGTTGTGGCCCGGTCACGGTTTGGTGTGTCAAACATCCAGCAAGGACGCTACTAGGGGCTCCTGGCATCGCTACTAAGAGCAAAGAACGCGACGAACGGGGCTCCTGGCATCGCAGCAAGGACGCTACGAACGGAGCACTGTTGCAGAACAGCCACACCGACAGCCGGGGAAAAGACCTGGCCTCCCAGTCGACCGAGGAAAAGCCCCGCTCCCACGCTTCCGGCGGCCTTCGGCTTGGGGGCCCAGCGAGGCATAGTCCGTAGGAGACCACCTGCCACCAGCAGGAGATACACATTGAAACACCATGAACCATGCCTTTATCCTGCGCTGAGTGGAAGAAACACCAACAAGGAGTTTCACGAAGTGTAGACGGAACATGTTTCCTACTGCAACCAGTTTCGACTCAACATAACATCCAATCGACTGCTTGAAATGCCCTCGCGGATGGGACAAGAAACCACTGTGATAATACAAACGCCGGTTTTTTACCTTCGCTCTCGACTTCAACCAGAGCTTGGAAGGAGTCACCTTGCCAAGCAGTCTGCAGACTTTGACTTTGGTTGGTCCTCTATATAACCAGAGCTTGGAAGGTGTCATGAATTTTGGCCTTTGCTTCTGCCTTTGATCCTACTTGCTCAGCATCACGTTGCCAGGCAGCTTTCGTCAGCCTAGCTTTCGGGAGTTGAATAATTATGTGCATTCATTCCTGGTCTGATTGTAAACCTGATGTCATGTCACAAAGTGGGAAGCCGCGCTCATGTCATTTCGGGAGTCGAAAATCGATCAGCCGGGAGACGGAGTCTGTCTGAATTTGGGCAGACTCGTCTCGTTTGGTGACCAGGTGATTGGTTTGACATGGTTAGACCAATGGCGATATGGTCTCGTCCATGCTGGAGCACCGGCAGTCGAAAGAACCGAGTATTTTTCCTGGTCTTTGGGACCATGTGGATACAAATCTGACACATCTGACTTGTGACGTTGAGGGACATCGCCATGGAGACAAGGCCCATGAAACATTAACTCAAATCACTGGGCTAGCCTGTGCATTTTGGATTCTTTTCCCAAGATCCCTAAACATCAAATCCAGTTTGTTCCTCTAGACATTTCTAGAGCAAAGTTATATACTATATATAGAGATAGTACATATTATAGTTATATAAACAACACTTCTGAGTTCTTCCTGATGTTTATTTGTTTGGTTCCCCAGCAAGAGATTCTCATGCTTGAGTCTCAAACCCCTCAAGCCCCCACCCCTTCACCAAACACACCCTCTTCGCAACCACCGAGGGCTACGTCCGCCCAGCCGACACGGCACGCCCCACGGTGCCGAGCCCCTGGCGACCGGCACCTTTTCAGCAGCGAATGCGTTCGGCATGATCCCACTCATTAACGTCCATTTTTTCAATCCTCCTCAGGCTCTCAAATGGCTCAGTTTTGTTGCTTCTCAGGTGGTAGTTCAGAGTCTTGAGATGTCCGAAGTCAGTAGTACCATGGCCATGGTTAATAAAAGAGAACACTGTGCACGACGCAACGATACGCAACGTGCGGACTGTCAATGCCATGTGCAGACTGTCTTAGTTTGGGTCATCGAAGCAACTATAATATCCCCATGTCCAGAAAGAGTCGGTAAAAGAGTATCACTATGTTTAAAGAGAGGCCTTTAATCAACCATCATCCACTACTGGTGTTGGATCCAGGCAAATGTGCCTCTTGAGAACAAAAAATCCATCGCCTATCACCGAGTGGAATCGCGGGTCGGCGGTCCGGTGGTCCGGATCACCCGAAAGCGGTGACCTGGGTGACCCGTTTTTGGTCGGTGACCTGGGTGACATCAGCTTTTGGGGGGTGGATCAAAGAAACAAAACGGCTGATTGGGGGGACTGCGTTTTTTTTTTTTTAATCTCGATTTGTGACTGAGTTGCCTTTGGGCCTTTGGTTGGTTCCATCTGTCGGGATCTGTCGGTGCAATACAAGCCGCACATCGTCTCAGGATTGGCTGGAAAAGCAGCTCCATGCGTACAAGTCTCACCTCGAAGCCTTTTGGGAGATCAAGGCGAACGATACTGCGGGTGGGCGCTCGGTGAGATTAAGACGAACCCCTCCAACATGCAGAAAACGTGAGCCAGGAGCTGGCGGGAAACATTCGTATGCTTTCAGCAACACATGCATACACATGCAAAATTAATTACGACGCACCTAATTTAAAATACATTGATGGATCTGATTCACGTGGAATCATTCTTTCTGAACCCTGAGCCAAGCTGAGCTTGACCCCGCCATCACAGGCCGAGGAGCTTGGGCACTCAGAAGTGCAGCGATTCTCGGGGCGATTCTCGGTGAAAGCTTCTCTTCTCACTATGATACGCACATGTTGATCATGTTGCATGTTCTATCATGTTCTTGGTGAAGGCCTAAGGAACACGGCGATGTGATATTAGGTTATTAACATGCATGACATCTATCTATGAACCCTTCTCAACCTATGAACCCTTATCATCCACTGAAATCGGAAGAGGTTCCCAAGCAGTGGACCAAATCACTTCCAGCAACGGCCAGGGTTGCCGCGGCCCTTTGTTTGTCTTTCACAATGGAATGTTTGCCAAACATCCGGGAAGTGCCCTCTATCTGGGGAATGCCCTGCACCTGCCGGTACCACATTGTGCGGGGCCTGGCGGAGCCTTCGAACCCAATCCCGGTGGCGTGTCCACTTCAAGGTTCAAGGCTTCGAGCTGCGACTCTTCACAGGTAGGGCCGGGGTTTGGATCAAAGGTTGGAGACATAAGCATGTTTGTGAATAAGGAGAGATGTGGGTGTGTAATGGTCTGTATACATAAAAAAGGAAACCCCGAATAGCCAGCCCCCAACCATGGGGGTTGGGTCTATTTCCCTTCTTCCAGGGGGTCCAACATGTCTTTCTATTGATCTTTAGAGTCCAATGGTGACCCCAAATGAATGGTGCAGATTTGGTTGAATCGCGGACATGTTCAAAGCACTGAGGACAATAATTTCAACACGTCTATGATTCTAAGACCATCCATTTGGGGTCACCCTCGGACTACTCTACACTCCTTACAGGGTCACTTGATGTTCAAGGGGGGATGCTTATCAGGGTTCAAACACTGGGGGCCTACGTTGAGGCTTGTCTCCTGCAGCTTCCTCCCGAAGGATGTGGAGCGTATAGAACAACTGACAACTCTGAATGTGTCTCCCAACGTTCATGCCCCCGCGTGGTTGACCATCCAAAAGCCTCCCAAAGGCTGTGATCTTCCCAAGCAAGACATCCTTTATACAAGCCATTTAGCAGGGGTATTCAAGCCATTTGATTACAATCAGGGCAATGTAGACTCTTGACTAATAAACCCCCCAATATGAAGAGGACTTTCCATTCAATTGGGTGCTTTGTTAATCAAGAGTCTACATTACGTGGATTTGGATCCCAAGTCACTGCCTTGCCCCTCAAGCGAGTCGTGTAGTGAAGGGGCCAGCTCACGACACTCGAAGTGGTGACGACTCATTGCCAGCAAACCAGCAAACCGGAACAGCATCTCCTTGCGAGACCAGAAGGTTGAAAGAACAACCGAAACAACACCTCTTCGTCAAGCCGCAGTGTGCTTATCTTTACACTGCGTGCGCAACCGGGACATAGGCTTTTGTTGCTGTCACCAAATTAACAAAAGGAAAAGCACAAACACTGAACCGCGGCGGACAGCGGGCCCAGAGCGGTCGCCATGGGGGATACAGAGCCCGAGAAGGAGACATCACAGAATGTGGATAGCCGTGACCTCGGCCATGGGTGAGATTATATACGAAATCCTTCGCTTTGCTTTGGGGGGAGGAGAACTCCCTATTCGCATCTATTGATAGCTTGCAGCATCTTGCAGCAATACAGCTTTTTAGTTGGCAAAGCGTTCACACTTATATAAACAGAGGAGGACGCGTTCTAAGGGGGACTCCAGTTGTTTGCTTGAGTCACCAGCTTAACCACTAAGTACGGATTGTCGGAATCTTGATTAATTTTGCAGAATTTCTTCTTCATTAGAAATCAACAGCTGATTGGTATCCCCGTAGCATCTACGCTTGTAATCCCAAAGAATCAGTACCACGCACACATATAGCCAAAGCATGATGAAACCAAGCATATTGGTTCACAAGGGAGTTTGCCCTGTCAGGAAAGCAGTTAGGGCATCAATTCAATGGCAGTCGAAGACCAAAGCACACTGCCCGCTTGAGGCTATATGCAGCAGCACCAGATTCAGCCCTTTGTTCAGGACAGATGATCAGATTAGCCTGAAGCAGGTTCATCCACATCGCAAACATTAGTTTTCTTTTCTTGAGATTGTTGGGGGGGATGTGTGACAAATGTTGAGCACTACCTTGGAAGTAAGCCGGCTCATGCTAGCTCAGCTTTTTTTGAGCAGCTCTGAGAACGGGAAGGAAGCACGCAGAGATTGCCCATGCTCGGCTGGCTCTTGCAGGAAATGCTGACAGAGCTGTTCCATGTGCTGCCGGAAGATCCATATGAGTACATGCAGAAGTCTTAGCAGTTGCTAAAGACTTCGGAGATGAGGTTGTACCTCAGTTATATATATAACCATCCTGAAGTACATAGAATTTTGGTACAACTCAATCCCGCGGCACTATAAAAAAGTAATAATACATGGAATATCGGGGTCCCAAAAGCATCTTCAGGATGGTTATATCAAAACACCCGCGTGCCTCGAATCGAAACACCCGCGCGCGCGCGAGCTCGCATCCTATGTCCCTTTTCCTTCTCCCATCTTCTCCCCTATGTCCCCTATCTTCCACAGACCATTCCACGATATTCCAAGTACTCGTTTGATCCGCTCGGAGATATTCTATGTACTTTTTTTGGGGGGTCAAAACGAGGTACTTAGAATATGAAATTGAAATGACGGAAGGTACGTTGGCGGCTCAATTCCGTATTCTATCTACTCAAGGATGATTATAAGTATAAGAATGGCTACACAACCTCATTAGCGCATTTTGTGATTGGTTGTGTGTGTGGGTTAAAGATGAATACGGATTAGTACTGTATGGACTAATTGATTCTTGAGAATCCCAAGCCAGCATCATCAGCCAAGACATGATGCGTGATTTAGTCTCTATCCTGACGCGGTGGATTTCGCAGCGAGTTCCGTGTACAATTGGCACCAAGAAGGTTTGACCCAGATCTGCATGTTTCAGGTCTAATTTGTTCCATTGGTTTTCATTCACACTTGCATGTAGCTTGCGTGTGCAAGTTTTGTGTTCACAAAAGTCACCAAAATGTCCACTGGGACATTTTAATTTTGGCTCAAGTGATTGGCAGTGAAATGACTGGGTGCAGAAGACCCATGCACAACTCCAAGCTCCTGAGACATCTGCAGCTCCTTTGGGAGCTTGGTTGAGAGATGTTTGCTTTGGGGTACATAAGGTGATCTTGGGGTCACCTGCTTGAACACGTAACTACGGACATTGATCCTGCGGCTGTTTGTGTCAATATCCTCCCATCAGCTTTGATTAGATGGTATACAAGGATAACTTGCGGCTATGAAAGCCTACAAAGCAGTTTGCACCCTACTTGAAGATGCCTTTACAAGAATCATTGGTCATTGGTTTGCAAGATCATGCAATCTTTGAGGACCTTGATAGGGAAATGATCCCACAACCACGCTGCATGGCAAACGTATTCCTAAACAGGTGATTGCATTGAGAGAAGGTGTACGGTCGTTTTCCATCCATTTCAGCGAGCGCATGCAAGACCTCCATGCGAGCGCATGCAAGATCCTGTGCCGTCTAAGGACCTATCACCTCGCCTCCAAGCGTCCAGTCCGGCCGCCACAGGATAGGATGAGGGCGGTGGGGAGGACGGTGGGATGGTGGGTGATCTCATCCGGGCGGGGCGTGGGCACCCAGTGGTGGGTGAGCTACGAAAAGGCCCTAAAGGGCGTGGCGCTGCATGCAGAGCTGAAATGTGGGCCAGTCGAGTGTGTATTTTTTGCAGTCGTTGGCAGGGTAGCTGATCCCAGACCAACGTGCCCAGTGCCCAAGCCCCCAAAGTTTGCTCACTATTGTGTAGTCATCCGCAAAAAGGCCAGCCACAGCTCTCCTGCAAGCACGCGCTAAAAGCTATGACTTGGACATATGAGCCGATCAGGTCTGGTGGCAGGATCCCAAAGCCCCAAAACATTTAAAAGGCAAGTGATGTTCACAGTTGCTTTGCTGAAAAGTCGGTTTGCTTGTAGCTGGCACCGGAGCGACAAGTGGAGGAGAGAAAACAAAATAAGGCGAAAACAACATGCTGACCTGCTGGCAGCGGCGAGAAAACAGAAGGAGGAAGAAACACATAGAAGATTCAACAGTCAAGAGTCAAGAGAATCAATGGAAAAAGGGAGGACAAAGGAACGACAAAAAAGAAAGATATTGACGTACAAAAGGAAAGAACGGAGAAAGAGGCCATACAAACGGGATAAGACAAGAACAACATGTTCAGATCTGGCCACAGGAGCCCGTAGTCAAAACAAAATCCACAAACAAAAAGCGCGTTTGGACCACCGACAGAGCCGAGCCGCCTTCTTTGCCTTCTCTTATGTTTCTTTGCCCCAATTTAGCCGGGATAATGTTGTTTCCGCAAGTGCAAGGGCAGCGGAGTTGTCATGAGTCCGGGAGAGTTGTTTCTGCAGGAGCAGAATTTGATCCAGAGCGGTGTGCTTTGGGTATTGCTGCCTGGAAGCAATCCCATGCCCCTCGGCTTGATTGGGTGGCAAAGCATAGCTAGCAACAGGGAGCAAGAAGGAGTTTAGACTGTTTCTGTCAGAACACACCCCACAGTGCTGAGATGGTTGACTCAGCAATGACAAGAACATACAAGAACTGTTTGACGCTCCTGTCAGGCAGTGATATAGTTGGCCGCTCCCCCCTGTCCGGACCAATTTGCTGCGAAGAAGTTGCAGTTCGAAGATGAGTCTAAAGTGGAAGTGCATCCACCAGGTCTTGGTTGGCTACACGAGTCCCCCGGCCCTTAAATCCACAGGATTGGGGTCAAAACCACAGGGTGGTTTATTGGGGTGTTGAAACTGCAGAGAACAATTCACGAAAGGTAGCTTGAGCTACCTCATCCCCTCCTCTCTCAAGTCTATACTGCAGACAACTGGGCACCTTTTGCTTTGACTCGGAAAACCGGTTCTTTTCCCCTCAGGTCTGTGGACCACTGGCGATTACGACGCTGTTGGCTGACCCAGCTAGGCCCGGCGCTGCTGTGTTTCAGCAGCATCCGGACTCACAGTCGTTGGCTGAAACACTCTGTCACGTCACCGGGATCTGGGTCGAAGCAACATACACACACAATCACATATATATATATTATATATACACACAGTCGTGGTTTCAGGGTTTCAGATGGTTTCAGAGTAGGTGGCACAAACAACATCCTATAATTAGTTGTGTGTGTTTTGTTTTTTATATCGGCATATGGACCGCCCATCGTGTCCCTTGGCCTCGCGGCCGAACACGATGCGACATCGCCTCAGTCGACAGGTCCCATCACGCCCAGACCGGCACGGAAAAACCTCCGTCGTTCGCCAGCACTCGGGGAGTTTGATCGATTGAAGTTGAGGTAAGCTAGACAATCCAAACAGTGTTGAGTTCATCTAGCTGCTTCATACAACATACAATCCAAACAGTGTTGAGTTCATCTAGCTGCTTCATCCAAACACTGTTGTTCAACTTTTGTTCATCTAAAGTGCTCAGTGTTCACTTTTGGATCAGTTGAAAGTGCTGAAAGCTGGGGTGTGATTTGTCCTGCATTGCTGGATTTCTCCAGTGAATGGGGACTAATTAGTCCAATCTGAAAGGGATTCCGGGGTGGCTCTCCCCGGCGAGAGCGACAGCAAGGCTATGCCTCATGTCAGAACTGGAAGAGGTCCCCCCCGCCTGTGAACCACACTTCAAATGTGTGGCGCGAAGAGGGACCCGGAAAAAGCTTCTCCGCCACTGAGCGGTTGCAGGCGTCATTTGCGTCAGCAACGAGGCGGCGGAGGTGGATCGGGATGACGCTGGGAGCTGCTAGGCAGTGATGTCGGGAAGGGTGGAGTGGCCACCTACTGATAGATATCTTAGGATCCATTCCCTCATTGAGACTTACTGGGCAACGCAGTTGAGGGTGTCGCCGTGTTTTTGGAAAGGTCTAAAACAACTGTTTTTTTGGGCACCGGCGGGGGTAGGGCCAGTAGGAAGCTGCATATTCCTTTCCATAGCGTTGGGGGGTCATTGCGGTTGAGCCAAGCTGATCGCGCCAAACAGCTTGAATTGTTCATACGGACGACCAGCGGGCAGGATGGCAGTTGAAGAGGGTTTGTTTGCCCAATGCTTGCTCAATTTTGGGATGATCCGGCATTGGTCATACTAACCGGTCAGTCACCACCGGGTGCCAGGAAGTGCGTTGAAAGTGTCAGAAAAATACAGTAAGACATAGTGAGACCGGTATCTACAATCGGTATCTACACTCATATGCTACAATTGTTGCCTTTAAGCGAAACAAAAACTTGACTCCACTCCACCAAAATGAGCGTCTCAGCTCCTTCTTCCCACGCTGAGGTTTGCTGATCTCCCCACAGGAGACAGCGCCACAGGAGCGGACGGAGAAGACGACCATGCGGAAGACGCCAGGGTTCTGAAGCACCGCCAGTGGTGGATGTTTGCGTTCCACTAAGTCACGACTGGACCTTTGTGGATGGTCCCTAAATGTTCATCTATTACGGTTGTGGTGGGTGTTCACCTCAGAAACAAATTTGAACTTTTGTATTCCATTTTGGACCAATGCTAGCTATACTTACATAGCAGTTGTTGTGTAACCAGTAGACTTCAGTCCTATCCATGGCTTGCTCATTCCGGGACAAGTTCCTTATGATGGGGAGATTTGTACCTGCAGTCCTGCAATACTATCTTGAGACGGTTCTATCACAAGGGAAACTACTAGAACAGCTTCAGACGGCGACTGAATGCCAGTGCCCATTACCTAATCTGTTGCAAGGGTCAGCAAATGAGTTATTCATAGTGATCTATTGACGCGAGTTGTTTTCCTTTGGCCTTGACAGGAATATGCGCTGGAGAAAGGTGCCATACACAGGCGCAAATGTGTGTTGTGTTTCGCTGTGGGTCCATGTGCTGAATTTGAGGTTGAAGGTGCTTTGTGGTGGTGTTTTCTTTGACCAACTACAGTTATAATTTTCAAACATATATATATATATAATATAGTTACATAGGGACCCCTCATTAATAAAGTGTGATGACAGCAGGCGGATTTGCTAACCTTCCTGCATCAAACAAACTTGTTTGTTGTCCAGTCCGACGTCGACCAAGCATTCTGCAGGCTATGCCGTTGCATTGGATCGGTGTGTTTTTTCTGTGTGGAACCCGGCGCCACGCCCGGAACCGGCCCCAGGGAACTCGAGGAGGACGAAGCGGCCAAGGCCTTCGCCTTCCAAGTGGCTGTGAAGCCGGGGCCGCTGGCGCACAAGGGTGACCAGGCCGGAACCCGCGACGGGCGGGGGCAGAAGGCCTTCGGTGCGGACGGCGACCGTGTGGCGGGTGATGCGGTGTTTGTTGATGAAGCAAAAACGTCTAGATCCTAGATGATTGGCAGGACCCGACAGGTGTCCTTCCAACTACAATGCACCGTGAATTGTAAGTCACCGCCGCTTATTTGTTTGACTCTGACAATATTTGGATACTTTGGTGTGGAAGGCGACAATGGCCGAACTCAAAACCCCCTCAGAGTTGGGGGTTTTGGCCGAGTTGGGGGTTTTGATTGGATCTCCCTCAAAACCCCCAACAAATCGCCCCTCGCCACGGTTCCATCGCACTAGGCTGCCGGCAGCCGTTGGGTCCTGCAGCTGGCCGCCAGCTCGCCGGAGCGCGGTTTGACCCGGGGGCTTTTTCCGGTGGTTGACCGGGAGGGTGAAGCGACCAGGGTGGTGAAGGTTGGTGTTCATGTTATGCGGTTATGCAAGTGTGTGTGTGTGTGTGTGTCACCCCCTGTGCCAAAGGGTTCAATGCCACTGTTTTCAGAGTGTGTGTGTGTGGGTTGTTGTTGTTTTTTCAGATGCACCAAATATCACGACATCGTCAGGGACAGGATGTTTGTTCTTGGTCAAAAGGAAGGAAGGTGCAGGATGTGTAACGAGCTGGGGGCGAAGAGGAGAGGCGAGGAATGCTCCGACGGTCGATGTTTGAAGAATTGGGACATTCGGTCTATGCCATGCTTTGAAGGCGCTCGTTTCCTTAGAGATGCCAATAGCTATCACATAGGTATAACTACAATGTTCATTACATAAATTACATCATGTTTAAAAGAACAACACATACATGGTAGAACGGTACTGAACTCCATGGGATCTCTGAAACCTTTCTCAGAAAACTTCTCATCGCATGCCGTCGTGTTCCCCCTAGCCGCATTCGGTGGATGTGTGTTTTTGGTTCGCTGAAGCGGAATGTCCAAGTGTTTCAATGTTTATAGGTCGATTTCCAGCCCGCCGAACACATGAAACCTGGAACAGCTTGAGCAAAACAAAGGTACTGTGGAGCTACCAAACCTGGGTCCTCCCAACCTTCTGACCAAACGAGGTATGATCCTCAAACATTTGCAGCTATCCATGTTGAATCAGGTTCCAAACTGAAACTCCAGGAATGACAGAATGCATGGAGATTTGCACCCTTACTTCGGCCGTACACGGAAAATGGCCTGGCCACTTTCCAGTAGGCATCAAACCCACCCCGACACTCGTCACACAAGAGGAGCAGAGGAGCGAATGGTTCAATGCTTTGTCGGCCTTCTCCGTAGATGCACAGTGACCTGGCAATGAAGATCGAGTGGAAGGGGGAATCAAATGAGTTGAAAAATAAACCCGGTAATATGTATTAAGTAAGGAAGGTTCCCAGAGGTTCAGAAATAGCTTCGCCACCGCTTGGAATTGCTGTGATCTGAAGCTAAGATAATGATTTTAGAACGTTTTTTTTTGTGTTAATGGTTTTGTGGGTTGATGTTTAGTTTGTTATGTTTGGATGGGCTAGATCGCTGCTGGAGTGATTTCAGATTGATTCTGATGTTGATGGCTAAAATAATCATATGGACATGTGTGAATCAGTTTCGGGGGACATGAGCGCTACTTGGTTCAAGGGACAGTATTGCATATACTATTATAATATCATTTCATATCTGGATCTTTTTGGCCAGACCCGCGTACCCAGGAAGCCGCCGGATGCTGAAGATCCTTCCGCACAGTCTGGCCGGCCACAAGGGATCGAGGCCCGGAAGGAAGCATCGCTGGATGGCTGAGTGCATGGTTTGTCTCCTGATGCCGTCAGAACGGGCTCTCTTGGACGGTCTACGGTCTGGGCTTCATGTGAGGGAGTGTGTTTGTATAGAAGAGTGGAGATGAGTTGTGTGTGGGTTCTGTTTGCGATGTGTTGCTGAGCTTTCGCTTCGGTCAATTGCTGTCATCCCAAGAAGCCATCCCAAGAGCCGCAGGAACCGGGCGCCCAGTGACGCAGTGTGTCCGCGCGGCAACGGAGGGTCCGTTTCGCATCAGGGAGTGTCCGGAACAGTGCTCAAACAGGAGCACAAGAAATAACGTTTGTGCAATCATTTTCTACTGCAGACTATACAGAATCCGAGAGAGTAGTGTTTAGTTTAGGGAATCCAAGAGAGTAGTTGGAGTTTGTTCAATTCACTCTCAAAAGGTGTTGTGGGCTCGGGACTGGAATGGACTGCAGTGTGAGCTGAACCAATAGGTGAACCAGTGAAGTCTTGATCGAGGTATTGCCATGAATTCTACGGCCATCATGAGTCACCATGCAGGTCGGGTTGTGCAATTCTGGCGATGCCGACCGTTTGTTGTTTCAAGTTTTCAGGTGGAACGACCCTTTCTGCCAACAAGCACTACCTCGCAATAAAGATTCTCTCCAGAGAAGTTACACCTATAGCCTATAGCCTCGCAGATCGGTATATCGCAGATGGCAACCAATTAGGCCTTCAATGTATTCATGATTTTATGATTGATGATGCCAGAGGAACTAATCAACTGAAAAGCAGGTGCGCATTCCAGTCTCTCGTCCGAATCATCCAAACACCCTCACCAAGAATCCCCCCAACTCAATCAACCACTCTCCTCCGTTCACACGGCACACGTGGCACACCTGCAAGCGCAAGGCTGCGAGTTTCACCGAGTTGCCCGGGGAGAAGCAGGGAGTTGCCCGTTCGTGCCGTTTTCGTGCGTAGATAGGCAGTATATGAAGAGTTGGGCCATCGGTAGCGAGAGTTCCACATGGCACGCCGGCAGAAGCGCCACTCTCGCCATACCTGGGCTTACCAATGGGGGTTCGTGCCATCGGTGTTCAAGTTCCGAAGCATCACAGGTAGAGTTGGACAGACAGCAAGCAGTTGACAGGTAGAGCATGAGTAGTTGCAGCTGCTTCATTTTACCAACAAGGTTTGCACTACAGCCTTCCATTTTGTCAACCAACGTGAACTCGCTCAAGGTACTAGTATTTTCAGCTCACGTCCAGAGGTGCGAGAGAGAGAGAGAGAGCATCAAGATGAAGATAATTAGTGGAATCATGTGGACTCACCGTTACTCTATTTATGTTTTTGTATTTTTATTAGCGCTTCAAAGAAAACCCATGTGTGACAAAGATGGAAGGGGGTACAGAAAGCCTACAGCATGGGCCTATGAACATGGTGTAGCTAACAACAACTATTTGCAGTGATTCGTGACACGGTTGGTTATCTCCAAGAAATCCTGCTCTCCCGGACGGGCGGAGAAGAAAGGCCAAAGCCGTGCAAGCACTTTCTTGCCAGAGCCTGCTGAATGCCAAAAGAGCCGCGGCACAGTGAGAGAGAGAGAGAGAAAGCCAGAGTTTGTGTCCTTCATGTTGGCACATATTGGCGCCTGAGGTAATGAAGCTAGCTGACAGACTTCACAGGCAAAAGCCCCCCAAACGCCAGGTCAAGGAAGTATTGTTGGACTCCCGGACGAACCTCAAATCCAAGGTGACAAGGGAGTTCGCTACAATTGGGGATTTGACCAAGAACACGGAGGACCCGAGGGGCTTTGATCTAATTCCCCACATGACTACTTGATGATGAACTTCCAAAAACGCATTCTTTCGCGAAGCAGTTCCTGGAACCCACGGACGCGCGCGCGCTGTCCGTACAGCGCACGGACTCCTCAAGCTACTGGCCGCTGCAAGCTACGACGACCCCTCCGCAGTGCCACAGGGTCAACTCAGGGGCATGAAGAAAAGATGTGTCTTTTTTGTTTGTTCTCCCCTTCCAAGTGTCCATGGAAGTGGACAATCTCCTCCTGTTGGAGCTTTGAGAGCCATGTTCATCATCCTCAGTGCCATCCACTCTGAAATCAGAGCTCTGAATCTCCCACGGGGGGGTGGTGACCAAGGAATTTTCGGAAGAAACCACTCGCTGAAGAAACCAAAGACATTCTTGCAACGTTTCATCGCGCTTATCTCCAGGTGCCGACCCGGAGATCCGTGGAGAGATCGGTGGAGGATCGATTAGGCTGGACGAGTGAACTGGGAGATGATGGGGAGAAGGGGTCAGCAGGAGACGAGACTCCTTCGGGGTGGTCAACTCAAGAATTGCAACAACTTTGTTTTTTTCTGGCTAGAATTGTGGTGCTTTGAGGCTAGAATTGTTGCAACATCTTCCAACTGGACAGGTCTTTTTGCCACCGACACAAGAGGTCCGCCGCTTGTGGCCAAGCTGTGGACCTCTTCCCCAAAAGATAACACACACATGTCACCTCAGATTGTTGGAGCATTGGAGAGAAAGACCTATGAACAAAAACACATAAAACATCATAAAACATACACCCACTCATTTGTCCGCTCAGTGAGTGGCATGATTGTTCTTTAGGTGTCAAATGAGTTGTACATCGTTTTACCATGTCGTTGTTGTGGTTGTTGGTGGTTGTGTGTTGTTCGTTGTTTGTACAATGTTCTGGAATCCACTGTTACCCCACCTGAACGGTTTTTCTCCGTCAACTCGATCTCAGGTGGCCTTTCAGTGTGCTCCACGGTGCCCGAGTGCGACGTCGAGCCGAAGGACTTGCCCTGGGCCTTTGGACGCTTCCGGTGGCAGGACCGAAAACGACGTGTTCTTTCAGCGAAGACGGTGGAAGGATTCAGATGTTTTCCCCGTCTTAGCCGTCTTCGATGTTGGACATGCTTATGTTGTGATTGGTATTTAAGGCCACTTGGGCAAACAACCGGCTTTCCCAAGTGCTAAAGTAGGCTGTTTGTGCGTTCCTTTTTGTGTCTTTTCTGGTTTTGTGTGTCTTCCCAGTGTGTGTTTTTGGGTCCGTGAGATCATGTGGAATCTAGCGCGCTCGGGCGAAGCCGCCCGCTTCGCCAGCTGGTGTGATTGAAGGAAGCATCCATTTGGGATTCCTGTGGAATGGAGTCGGCCAAGTCGTCAGCAGAATGTTTGGGTACGGGACGGTGATGGGGCGGAGTCGAAAAGTTCGCGCGAGATGCAGGAGGAGATTTCTGCGTTCGAACTCACTTCATCCCCATATGTTTGTTTGTCTTCGCAAGGGGAGGAGATACCTAGACAATCCTAGACCATCAGAGAATGGGTTGCATTTGGTTCCAAAACCGGTCCAGCGAGCCTTGGCTCGATCCTCACCGTTGATCCGACGGCAGGATCAGGCGAATCGACCGTTGAGCCGCATCCCTCGGCTGAAGTGAGGCCAAAGTGCCTCTCGGGATGGCCATGTTGACTCGCAGGGAGTAGATCTACATGGATGCAAGGCCTTGTTTACTGAAAGTATGTCTGACACCCTTACTGTCATGAAAGTGTGACACCCTTCTAGTAGTGGGTTTGGAGATGTTTGGATAGGGTGTGTCCCCATGTCCAGCCACAGTTGGTAAACGATGATCAATTATACCAATTTCTTGGAAAGGTCTTTACTATCTAACCATCATCATCCTTTGATACTGGGAATGGAATATACCTAAAGTATTTATGATAGCAGCTCACCATTCCTAGAATTTCCTAGACCATCCAAAGGGAACCCAAATATTGAGGAACATCCACTTTCTCCACAGAATCGCCCAAAAAAGGCTGCCTAGAGCTCTCACCTCCCTGTTTATATGTTTTAAAATGTTAGCTGAAATCACACCATCGGTGCTCTGACCTCGGAGTTCCAATTCAGGTGCTCAGAGGTTTCGCATCGTGCTTGGATCAAACAGGTCAGACAGCTCCACTCGCTGTCACCCATCCAGCTGGTGGTTTCCGGGTGTGGACATGTGGGGATGCTTGACCAGTTGGAACTTGGGACGGATTCCACTTTCGTGGCCCACATACCGCACCTTGAGTATGCTGCAACTCCGTGATGCGTCGGCTGCAATGGTGTTGTGCACCTGCTTCCCTGCGAGCAGGTGGCCAATGTTGATGCGCGAAGGTCCTGAATTTCGTGCAGAACTGCTGCTGAAAGTAAGCAGCTGAGCTTTTGGCTTTTCCCGCGTGATTCAGGGTTGTAGCATGGCAACGAAGATCATGGAGAGGCCCTGTGGACGAGGGTGTGAAGGAATTCCTCCACTTTTGCGCATGAGATCATGAAGACTCATGAAGCATTTAGAGTATATCATTTGTAGCGTGGTTCTCCAATGAACAGACTCCTGAAAGAAATGGTCTGCGGAATCACCTCATAATCTGAAAGATCAGGAGCCGACGACGAGGCGCAAGAGTCGGTGGACTGCTTGACCAACGAGACCACTCAGTGGTTTGTTGGTGCATTTGTTTCCTCCACACTTGAGACGCACACGTTGGAGATGCCAAGTGTATGTATGTATACATATACATATACATGTATGTTGTTTTCCTGTTGGAAAGATCCTAAGTCCGGCACGCAGGTCTTTTATGTTTGTGAGTCAAGTCTTTGCTGTGTGATGTTGCATTGGCACCAGCAAACTACCCCGGAACCAAAACATCTTAGTAGCCCTAGTTTGTTCTCGCTGAGTGTACATCACCTGACATGACGCTAAAAGGCCACAAGGAGACAAGAAGCGCCACACCCTGTGAAGGCGGAGAGAAGCTTGTGCATATGTGGCCCATAAGACGTGGGCCAGTCGAACAGGGAACGGTTTTCTGAGACCGCTGCGGACCCAAAAAAGCAGACTTGTTCCGTATGTGCTGTTCCGTTCGATAATTCTTCAAATTGGATCACAGATCTTTGTTCGCACAGTCCATCGTATGCAGTTCTGGTCCGACCTGTGTTCCTTTAATCGCGGTGGTTCCTGTCAACCGAGAAATGTCGCTTGACGAGGAGGTTGATGTTGCAGTCGCTCGCCGGGACGAGTACCTCGCACGGATAATCTTAGTCTTTTAGTAGACAGGTGTTTTTGTTCTACGATTCTACCAGAGATGTCTACCCAAGACCAGAGACATATGGCATCTTTCTCAGAGACATATGATGTTTGGTGCCCTGAATTGGTGGACGCGGAGTTCAGTTCTGCTGGGCTTCGCAGGCTCAGACCAAAGAGTTGGAAGCTCACTCATTGATCAGAACTCAAAGGATTTGGTTTGCATGTTGATGGAGACTGTTCAAATCTACGGGAAGTGGTGCTCCTTTAAATCGTCCTGCAACAGTTAGCAACATGTAGCAACACTTTTTTCTCCTGTGGTCGGGGAAGCATGCGTTATACTTAAGATGACATAGTCCTGGAATTGTTTGACCCATCCACAGATCTTGTTGCCATTCCAGTGGAAGGGAAAGTAAGGGAGACTGAAGATCATACTAGCTAGAAAAGTGGGTGAACACATCAAACAATCTGAGAACTACATGGGCTAAATTCGGACAACAGGACAACCCTTTGCTTTGGTAAGAGACCAGACACTTTCAACTAAGTATACCTGGTGCCCAGCTGGGCGGCGGAGCGCTCCTGCGCCATGCCATGAAACCTCCGCGGGACGATGGCGAGGCGCGCTTGTTGAAGCGCCTGACAGTGCATCGGAAGGCCAAGTCGCAGCTGGGCACGCCCACCAGCCGCGCCGGTGAGACCACACCAGGTTCTACAGGCGCGTTCGGGGTGGATGGACGATGGAGGACAGAGATGGAGGGAGGGAAGGACATGTGTCTAAAAGCTTTTGACCTTGCTGTGATATGATATGCATACTAGGACCCACAAGGGGTGGTTAATGGACACCCCTTAACCTCTAAGGGGCCATCAATAGACACCCCTGGCCCGGGTGTCCTGGTATAGATCTGATACGATTTGATCTGTTTTCTCGAGTCTTTGCGGATGACCATGTCGGTACATGCGGGGTGCATCCTGAGACTGAATGCCTTGGTGTGATGAATTCCGCAGTGACGGTTTGGGATTTTCTCCCAGTACTGCACCTCCTCTGCTCCGTTGTCGAAGTGCTTCAGGGTCCGATTCTCTTCTCTCTTCTGAGCCAGGTGCATCCAGGTGCTCTCTTTGTAGTGGTAAAAAACTTTTCCTCATAGCACTGAGTTCCAAAACGCTGAATGATGTCCGAGTTCCAAAGGTCCGTGTGACCATGTTGGTCCATGTTTTGATCGGCAGGTCCTTTAGCGCGCAGTGGTCCCGTTGCAGGCGTCGAAGACCGCAGTCTTCGCTGGTGCTCAAGCACCTGGACTGTCGCTGAGCAGCAAGTTCCGTCGCTGGAATTATCCATGTTTGGGATCGGTCATTCAGAAAGCTCATCGAAAGGTCCGAATCGGATCCGAGCTGTCGGACGGGGGTTGAACGGTATTGACGAACAGGTGCTGGTCTTTGTTGATTTCCTATACCTTTGTTTTAGCGGTTGTGACAAATCTGATGGAGCGTTCAACTTGTTTCGTGTCAGAGATGACGGTTTCACCACTGTGACCCAGCTTGGACCTCGGGAACTGCTGTGCCAGAAACCCAACGTCAGCAATTCCAGAACATGTAACATGGTTGGTAACAAGGGATGTTACCTACTTTACCAAGCGTTATATTATGGGTAATTCCCTACCAAGTTCTCTATTAGTTTGTTGATGTTTGCTGGAACCTCCATGTCACAACCAGTAGGGAGACTGCTGGAAAATGTGTGTTCGAAAGAGAAATGAACTCAAAAACAACGCATTTCCACTCAGGACAATACCCCTGGCTGCCTACAAGCACTCAATTACAATTAAATCCTAACCTCGAATTGGTTTGTCATGCCAACATATCCCAACCCGTGTGCTCAATTTGTTGTTGGTGCCTCCACGTTTAGGGGAGGCAACTGATTTCCTCTCAAGGCCAGTGTTTCTCCGAGGTCACCGAGCTCATCGGCCTTTTGGTGGACTTCCGTCCGCAGAGCCTTCGCCAGGTGCGCCGTGCCCGGCTGCAGCCCGAAGGCAGCGGCGTCGGCGCAGCGGGAAGCCGGCGGGCGAAACATGTGGCCGTGGCGGAGGAGGCAAACTTTGAAGAGCTACCCGGTGAGGTTGGGCAATGTGGGTGGATGAGAGTTCTGCAAATTGAGTTCCAAAACGGGAACACCCTTATCACACAAGCAGTGTTAAAGACACTTCTATATCACACTACACAAACCCCAAACTAAGACAACAACCTGCAGACAGTTTGGGAGGGTCCATTGCCCATTGATACCTTTGGATTCTTTTGGATGAGTCATGTGGCGAGACTAGACCAGACTGGTTCACAGGTCCAATTATCTTCAGGCACACGAACATCAGGGTGGTCTCCAGTAGTGAACGTAGTATGTATGTACATGACCCTGCCACAAGAAGAAAACACTGCATGCATGGTTGCACAATTAATACACCTCTTCTACGGTTGTTGGCATACCCCGATTGAGCCGTCCGAGATACAAGTGAGTGACCACCACCATTTGCTGAATTTGTGAGGTTTACCGGTTTAGCCTTGCCCAATGGTGTTTCGGCTACTTAGGGGCTTAGCCATGCCCAGTCTCATCTACACGAGAGTCTCACATGACACAGAAACATGATGGCCGAACTATACTAACAATGGAGTAAGTGCACCTTTATGAAACGCAATTCGGTGCACCTATGCCTCCAAGGCTGAAACCCTTATATACTAGACTTGTACCTTCAGTGCACCACAGTGTAAATGCAGAGAGGGATGATCCCAAGATTGAACCACTTCCCAGACACTCCATGCATATATGCCTGCATTGACCCCCCAAACCCACCCCAACTGATCGGCATATATCATATATATATATATGGCAGTCCCATGGGTCGTGTCTGGGTTTGTTTTATACATCGTGCAGTCCGGTTCCTTCGTGACATCCCTCAGGTTAGTGGACTGCCTGGTGGCCGATTGTGGCTCTGAGCTGGAGCGAAGCTATCGGGTGGAGCTGGCGCCGCAGGCAGGGTGAGGTCCCACAAGAGATCGAAACAGTCTGCAATACACATACATATATACATATATATGCTATGTAATGTAATATATAATATGATATATGTATTTCTGTGGAAGGAAGGAGTTTTATGGACTGTCCGTGATTTGTCGTTCCGTAAATTTGAGATCGCTTTCGCTGTTGTTGCGGAGAGACCTGATGTTTGTTTGTCCTGCTGCCACCGATTTGCCACCAGTGATTGAGACGACTTCTTGGGGGGGTCATGGGGAACCCGTCAGACGACAAGGCTTTGCTGACCAAATTCAGTTCTCCCTTTGAGACGCCTGGATTCGTACAATTGGACGAAGCGGTTCGTCCACGGCAACGGTTCCTCTTGTGGAGTCCTCTCCCAAGCGGTTCGTCCGGCTCCTCTCTTTTGCCCATACGCTGGAGGAGCTGGATGAGCTGGAGGAGTTAGAGGCTTCAGTGCGTTCGGCCGAGGAAGTCTTGTTGATTTTGGATCGGCAGGCCTTCTGTCTCTCGAACAGTTGGGCCCTTTGGCGGATGTGGAGGATGTACCCGGATGGTTGACGGCAATCGAGGTATTTGGTTCCTTTTATGTCTCTATAATATACCCAGTATGACCAGAGCTCCCTCGCAACCAGATTTTGGGCCTGGATTTGAAGGAAACATGAACCCACGCAGAGCTGATTTGCGATAATTCTGTCTGGCAAACAGATAATTGAGCCGAATAGCCCTGAGATCCTCACTGCCCAGGTTCTCACCAGCCACTTTTGCCACTCCCCAGTCAAGTCCAGACAAACTCCTTTTGCCCTCCTGGGCCACCGGTCTGGCCACACTTGTTTACTCCAGTAACCTTTTTATATACTCCAGTACTTTGTAGTTGAAGAAATCACTATACCTACAAAATCCTATAAACTAGAATGTAGTCAATCTCAGGGAAATTTGGTCTTCGGGGACACTTTGCACTGCCTGAAGGCACCTGAGCTCACCATTGAAATGTTTCCATGTATTTATTGTTTTCCCCGAAAAGAACAAGACCTGAGGTCCTCACCAGCTGCCTCCTTTGCTGCTCCACCAGCCGCCGCCTCCGCGTGACCAGTCCGCCAGAGACCTTCCGGGGCTCTGCCTCAGAGCTCCTTTGCTGGGAGCAGCGACTGGACGGTCTCGATTGGCAGCAGCTCACGGCGAAGGGCGATGCCGCGACCCGAAAGCTGCGGACGTTTGCGGAACAAAAGTGGGACACCTGGACGGAAGCGTTCCAACCACGGCGTTTGCCGTGTTGGTCATGGACTTGGAAGACTTTGCTTGTTGAGTGGGTGGAAAGAAAGTGCTCGGAATCTGTAAGTTATTGATAGTTATTGTATGTTATTGTTTAACATACTTTTTCCGCAGTTCACATGTGTTCGTCAATCTTAGTTCCATTGGATGGTGTGTTATACTCCGATCCTGGAGTTGAACTCCGTAAGTCAATGGCCCTCTTAGATTGAAATGACAAGAAGTCGAAGCAAATTGCCTCGGGCGGTCGATTTAGGCGGTTTTTGAGAGTCACAGGAAGGTCCCCGAGTACTGAGCACTTTAAGGGACACTCTCACTTATTGTTGAGCCATGCCCAGTTGGGTTGGTTCTTAGTCTAACTAATTGAGGTTAACCGTGTTTAACTGTTTAACGTACTATATTTTCATGGCTACGCTTCATTCATTCTGTTCATTCCGAAGATATAGGCTAAAGGCCCTTGGGCCAGGTTCGGTGTAGTGGGTTGGTAGATGTTGGTCATTCCTGCATCGATGGGGGAAGAGCTTGTCATCATGTTCACTCCTCAGGACTGGTATGCTCCAATCCCAAAGACTGTGACTGTCATCGCTTCTATAGCTACGTCGTAGCGATGCCCTTAGTTACACTAGTTTTCTCCAATCCCAGTCGACTGCTTCGATCATCATCCTTGATCTATTTTGAAACCGCTCGGACTGTTGAGGTTGATTCAGTAGTCTCCAGGTATGAATTCCTTAGACCAAATACTGCGGCATGGTGAAGCTGTCACTTTGACATGAGGGTCATGGGTGAGGTCAACAGCACCTCGGTGTCTCTCCGATTAGGTGGATGGCCAGAGAGTATCCAGAGAGTATAAACTGGAAGTACATTAATTAGAGTGTTGTGGGCGGTTTTGGTTTGCCAAGACGATCCCTCACAACGGACGGCTTCAGGGTTTGCTTGTGTTTCGGTTTCAGATCTCCATACACGAAAGACACACTCCTCGCCTTGTCGCAGCAGAACATCACCCAAAGGGATCAATCTGAGGAATCCACCTCTTTCCTTTTTACCTGCCCTTTGCCTTGCCAAGTACTAGTACGGAAGCCCTCTCTGAATTGTCATACTGCCCATGACAGAGGGGCTTGGATTTGCGTGCACCGTGCACCTGGCGTCGGCTGGATGGGCGCTCAGGATTTGCGTGGCATTGGGACGGATCGACTGCTGTCTCAGCTGAAAGTGCTGCTGAGACGCTACATCTACGGTCAGATCCTTCTGAAGGCGAGAATAGAGACCCACGTCTGGACAGCACCAAGCTGGGCGAAGCGGGGTCGGGTCTGATGTGACGTTAGCAGACATAAGAAGAGATCCTTTGTGATAAGAAACATCACGTGGCACCACCGCTCGGACCATCCACCGGGACCGTCGAGGCCGTCCAGCTCGGCGACTTGGAGGCCGTCGAGGCCGCCTTGGAGCGAGGCGGGTCGGGGCGGGTCGACGGGAGGTCCGAACCGTGGAAGCGGTCGCCATAAGGTGCGAGAGGTGAGCATCCTCCAAAACAGGGGTCACTCAGGTTCTAGGTAGTTAATGGTAGTTACATATATTGTGGAGACCCCTGACATTCCAAAGACTCACCAGCAAGTTGCAAGGAATCTCTTTCTACCTTTTCCTGGTTTTGCTGATCTGATGAAGATTATTGTCCTCTATGGATAAATCTACGAACCTGACCTGGTGGATTGTTGTTACATTGCCAGCTACCGAATCAGCAAATCCTAGATGTTGATGATGTTTGCGTTCAATTCTCCACAACTGGAGAGATCGTGTGAAGGACAATCCAGATAGGAGGATTAACACACTATAAACAGTCAACATTTCGTATGGAGTGTGAGTTTGGTGTGTAAATCTGTTTTTGTGTCGAAAGGATGATGCGACAACCTTGGACTGGCTGAAATCCCTGGTGCATCTCAATTGTTTGAAGAACTCAACTGCCTGAAGCCATTTGAAACACATCTGGCAGAATGGTTTTGGAGGATAGCACATATGTATATAATCACTATATATATATATGTACGGTAATATATGGAACCCCTCTGGTACCTATGTCTTAGGGAAATGAAGTGCTTTGCACAATTACCAGGGAGAAGGTACCATGCATATCACCAATAGTTGTCTCATCTGACCATTTCGATAAGCATATGTTGCATTTGCCGAACCCAATGAGCTTCGTTAGAGTTACACGGTTTTGAATATTAGATGTGCTGAAAATACATGTTCCTTGAAGGCGACCAGGTGTTTTTCTTTGAAACAAGAAGATTTTAAGTGCATTTGCTTTGGCTTGCAAATCGGTCTTTGCACCAAAATTGCATTCACCAAGACAAGATTGCATTTAAGAGTGTGGCTCGAAAACATATCCCACATGCCGCATAAAATTGCAACATTTTTATATAAACCCATATTCATATACGTTTGCAAAGATGAAGGCTTTACTGTGATAAATATACACGAGGTGAACAGGGGTACAACTCTACTATGATGATATGGGGCTCATACTGGAATGAGGCACCTCATCCTATCTTTGAGTGCTGGAAAAATGCAGCGCATTGTGCCTGAAACATAGGTACCTACGTGCTAGACATCACAGGACATCGCTTGCTTGTGTGACCTTTGCGATGTTTCCCAAGCACTTGTTACTGGGGTATGGGCGACTTTACGGGGACATGAGTGACTTGACACCACCAAGTAGTAGTAGTAGTAGTAGAAGAAGAAGAAGCAGAAGGAGCAGGAGTAGGAGTAGGAAGTAGTAGATCGAATTAGTTGGACTGCCCAATCTCAAAGCAACGCCCAATCTCCGCTGCCCTGCAATGCCCAGCAGACAGATCCCCGTCTCGACCGGACGGTGAGGCGCATCACTGGACCAACGTGATGAGCCTTGGCGGTTAAATTGAGACGGATGCAGGAGAGGGGGTCAGCGGAAACAGCCCTCAGGAGAGGGGTAACAACCTGTTGCCTACCCAGGAAGCACGGGGTAACGACCTGAAAAAACCTTTTCTTGGGGTTGGTCACAGACAGAGATCCAACAGGTGGAAAGAACATCTATACAAGGAAACTGAGGGAGAATGGGTAGGTACCCTACCAAGTGGACATCCGTGACCTTGACGGCAGGCAAATTGTGGTAACCCCTGGAGCTATATAGATCCTTTGGTGCATCGGTTCTTTGGGAACCAATGGGTTTGCTTTTAGATATCCACTTTTCGAACAGCGCTGTCGGATTTTGGGACTTGAAGGGTTGTGGTGGAAATGGCATGTGTGATTCATGATGGAACATGGTTTTTCAGCTCATGGACCACGGATGAATACGGCCTGGAATACCGTGCACCGCAAAGTATTCACTCATGCCCACGGTATTAAACCATGTGGTCCATTTCAATTTGATGCATGTTTTTCAGCTGGATATGGTTCCACGGCGAAACCTTTTCACAGCGAAAGCTCACTTTGACGTCATGAGGTTTGTGCTACCAAACCACGGATGACTTGCCGGCCACCAACCCACAGATGTTCATGGATGTTGGAACAATTCAGTTCCAAACAAAAACATGAGATGGATATATATATATATATTATATACCCATTGGATCCCAATGCACTTGCAGTTTTGAAGGCCCCCGCACAATCCATAGAAACTATAATATTTAACAATTTGCATCAATGTTTTTGCCGCGCTGCCAACCTTTGACATCCATTGTGGGCCCCGGCATGTTTGGCCCATATTGCAGGCTTGTCACTAGTAACTTAGTAGTTTCTTCTTGCTACTAGTAGCGATGCCCTTTGTTCCTAGTAGCTTCAAGGCTTCTAGTGGCACCCATTTTTGGGGCTCCTTGGTCACCAACCTGTCAAACTCATGAGTCCACAGGCGGACGGGAACACGCTGGAGGATTTGGCACGCTTCTGCAATCACGAGGCGGGCACGGAGGTATTTGCATCAACCCTGAATGAATTCGGGTCTTCAACATGCTAAATCCAGAATGGAAGTAGATCTCATGGTCCCTTAGATGCCTACTGTCCTCAACAAACAGATCATAGTTGGACACACACCCCAAAAAATCTGGAATGGTCAATGGTCAACATGCATCTCAGGAATTGGACTAACACCTGCAAAAGCAGCAGCTCCCCCACCTTCCAGCGGGTATCGCGCGTATCGCTTCGGGTTCGGGTTCGGGTCTGCGACATGGAGGGATTCGGCTGTGCAGAGTGGGCGACAAGTGGCACTTGTTTATGATCCCCAAGTGTACACTCCCGAACTCTGGAGAATGGCACGGTTTTCTTCACTTTCGGAAGTGGTGAAATCAGGTGTGAGTTTTCAGGGTCCTTGTGAGTTTTCCACTGGGTAAGGCAATTTTACTAAAGCATGCATGTTACAGGCGATGAGAGAGGTACTGATTGAAAAGCGGGTGGCATGTGGTTCTTGACGGGCACCAGGAAGAATTAAGGATGCAAGAAATGGATAGAAATGGTGTCCTCAGGAGTCCTGATCTTTTCTGTTCCCACGTGCAGCATGCTTTCCCATGCAGGGGGTTCGAGTTCTTTTTAAAGCATGTTGTTTGAGGTTGTTTTTTGAAGCAACAACGATGTTGAACTGCATAGAGACATGACCCTTCAAAGACATGACCATGCTCCTGTGGAGTTCCTTTTGTTTCTAAAGAATTCCTCTGGATGAAGCTACGCCTGGATGAACCTACGCCACCGGACCCATTTGGACTCCCCAGGAGATCGAAGAGTTCCTCTTTGAGAGGCCGGACCCTTCGGGACCTGGGGGCCGGACCCAACGGATCCGAGATCTCTGCACTAGTGAGTTGGGACTTCTGAAATGACTGTGCAAATGTTGAAGTTCCATCTCATGTTTCCAAGTGTGTCCACAACTCCCATCTCATCATGCATCTACCATCAAAATCAAGATCAGCCGAGAGGAGCTTTGCTTATCTCTTTGAATTGGTGTATTCCAAAGGGGGACACTCAAACATAACAAATAAATGAAACTCGTTGCTTTACAAATGATGAAACACTATCTAAGTTAAATGGGGCATTATAAAAAGAGAAACGCTATTACACGATTTGTTTTAACGGTTTAACCTGCATAACTCCTATCTCATGTGCCTCCTGAATGTTTTCAGTCAACTTCTCTCAGACACATGTGTCAGGACTTGTGCGACAAACAACCCATCTCATAATTGGCACAACTCCTAACTGATCTGGGGGTAGTATGTGTATATTATATATAATCTTGATGAATCACCCCCCATGAAGAGGTGTTTCACTCCAAATGGGGGTTATTCATCAAGATTCTATATTAAGCATTAACACGGCAATGTATTTAGACATGATTGACCAAGGATGCACCAAGTAGTGCTGGTGGTCGTCGCCTGGTAGTGGTAGTCGTGCTGGCATTACATGTGGAGTTGCTTGTTGTGCCAGTGGTCCTATAGCGCGGGGTACGCAGGGAGCGCGAAGTGCACGTTGTGCGCGGGGTGTGTGCGGGAGTTGTAGTGGTAGTAGTAGTGAGACGGAGGCGGTTCTAACGTGTTAAATTCCTGTGTAGTTTCTGTGCCAACATGAAATGGTGCAATTGTTGCTCGAGCTTGGAGTTGGCAACAATAAGGATGCGCCAGCTGCAAACTTTGATATGCAATCCTGAAGACGCAGTGACGCAGCAAATGGACTTTGTGGATCGGCCATTGAGTGTTGCCTCTTCCAAAGGCGGTCAGAACACTGCGAGGTGAAGAGGTTGCTTAATCAAAGAGCTGCGACCCACGGCCACCCTTATGCGGAGCGTGCATAATATGACCCATTTGCGCAGCATAGTTTTGGCACCGGGCAGTTCTTACACACCACACACCAAGCAATGCTCAAGGGTTTAGATACTGTAAGTCTCTCCTTGCACCACATATCATGCTGTAGCAACCCCTCCTCGCGACCCCTGCGACTCTTATGCGGAGTGTGCTGCATTTGACATATGACCGCATTTGCGCAGCACAGTTTTGGCACCAGGCAGTTTTTGCAAACCACAGCGGTTACACAGCCCTGTTGCGTTTGGAGACTACGGTTTTATACTACATATTATATAATTTATATACGGTTTTCATATATTCCTGGTAACTCTCTACCTTTCGTGACGGCCCTGTCTCAAGTGAGATACAGAAAATGATTTGGTCTATGGTTGTCAATATATGTTGGGAATTGAACAGTTGGTTTGAGAACCCTGGGGCTGTTGAGAAAACTTACAATAAATTATTTTTGTTGCACTGATATCCCTTCATTCAGTGAAGTCCGCCGAATAGCAGTCACCACTGTAGTTTGGACTTGGTAGCCTTGACTTGACAATCCCCTGTTACCTGAGAGCTTCACTTTGTGTGTATCTTTGTTACAAATACTCAACCGACTCCACAACCACCGCCCTCCCTGGCTCTTCCGCGTTCACCTCGCCCTGCCAGGCGCATGCAGGGGATGATCCACCAACCGCTCTCGCATTTCTTCCGAGCAGAAGAGCTCATCGCACAGTGCTTGGGGCCTCAGGGGAAATAGAGGCCGGACAAAAACATGTGCCATCGAGTGAGCAAGATCAACATTGTTTTTAGGGCAGAACAACTGACTGGTGCTTAGTAGGGAATAAGGGAATGAGCCCACAATACAGATTCTATTGGATCCATTTCCTCATTCCCTGCTAAGCACCAGTCAGACAATTTGTTTGAGTCCAGTCCAGACTTGTAGTTTTGAGATTGGACACACGTGGAGAAACTCAGCGACACCAAGTCGTTTCAAAACCCTTCTTGTTTTCTCTTGTTAAGGGCGAGAGGACCCCGTTTGGGAAATGAACACACTATAGATGACTCATGTAGTAGTCATTTGTGTGGGTATATACAGTTCACTTCATTGGGATGTTTGCAAGTTCTTAGGCTCCGACGCAGATCCGACAGTCCTCATGCCCTTCATGACGCAGAATGATGGCTGCTGAGCTGAGAGAATTTCTTTGGTGGAGCCGGGTCATGTTGGTTCCTTTAGAGGCGGCACATGTACCCAGGCTCGTGCAGGTGTTGAAAAGAACTTTTACAACTATCAGATGGACAACCAGCCTGCGAGTTTCACGTGAATATTCATTTGCAGCTAATTATCAGGTATCAATCAAATTTGCTTAAATTGCATGTGGTGTGCCGAGCCCAAACTGCTTGGAAGTGAGGGGCACTAGCTTCAAAAATACAAGATGAGTGAGTATCCTGACAAGAGTCAAACTTCCAAGGACCTGGGGATGCCTGCACGGGGATCAACACATGGATTTTCCATTGACTTGTGGGGTCCCTAATGACTTGGGATCCATTAGCCCAAAGGTCTTTCTTCTTAGCGTGCAGTGCAAACTTGGCTTGAGTAGACTTACGAGAGCATACTCAGTTATACCCGCGGTCGTGGCACCAACCCGGCTGTGGCGTTTTCTTTTCACACAGGATGGGTGGCGGTGTATGTTCACCATACTGCATTGTTTTAAATGTTGTGTTTTAAGTATTCTTTTGTTTATACGTTCAGTGCAACAGCAACGACTGTTACTACCACGACAGCAACAGTGACCGGATCTGAACGTTGCGCGACAGCAACCGTCAGTGATCGGATCATGGAAACCAGGCGGGCCATATGGACCATGCGGCCTTGGTGAATTCCCATGTTGGGGACTGTTTTGAACTCAGGAGAAGGAACTACAGATGACCTCTGGCCAGATTCTGCAGTCACTTTGATGGCATGTCAGATCATTTGACAATCGCACATAGTTGCATCATGGAGACTGCTGCGTGAAGGAACAGATTTGAGAGATGTGATGTTTGTTTGCAGGCACGCCACAATGTTGCGTTAAGAGAACCCAATGTTGAGAGACCTGATGTCATCGTTGCGTCAAATGGACGGCAGAATTGGACGAGCCTCGCAAGACAACTGAGGCCATGGCGGCGGAGGAGGAGGACCAGCAACTCTGGGACTACCTTGCAGCCATCACAGGCACTCCTGGTGCGACGCCTGGCGCAGTCGCTGCGGGAGCGTCGGTGAGCATGCCGTTCTCCGCGGTGCGGGCGGTTTGAATCCAGGGCAGTGGCAGTGAAATGAGCGAGTGAAGTGCGGAGCTTGCGCTGAAGGATGGGATTGTGGTATAGGAGGTATATATGTAGAAAGCTAATTACTCTTTCAGCTTCCACAGACCTGAGAAGACCCACCTGAAATATCCCCAGCCACATATTCCCAGAGGGTGCGTGAGGTTAAATCTGCGGTGACAACCTGAAGAAAAAACAAATAAAATCATCTAATAAATGTTTGAGTTGTAGGTCCTACATTTTTTGGGTGATACAGAACATATCGAAACATGTTGAAGACAATTCATTTCAGCCAAGATCCCTGACCTTTGCCTGTCGGGCACCCAGCTCGTTTGCGCTGGAAAAACTGGCCGGGCAGACGACTGAAGGCGTCACAACCAGTGAGTGTTTCAAAGCTCAAGATGTCTCACCAGAGGAAAACAGCGGAATGTGCGGGATCAGGGCGCGTTTTGGGGGGCACTATCACTAGAGACGGTCTCAACACGTGTAAATATTTGTAAATCCTGCCAAGACTGCACGTAGTAATCCCGGACATCATCCTGTGAGGGATGGTTGAAACTGCAATAAAATACAATGTGTGTGTGTGCGGCTCTAAGTGTTTGAAAATCATAGATATATACACGTTTGTGGGAGATGATGTTTGTTTGCCATACCTTTTCAACAGCGCTTTACAAGAGGGATCAAGGGGGTTCACGGGTTCACTTCTAGTCCCGATGCGGTCATTAGGGAACTCACGAGCTGTCCCGTGCTTGAAGCCACTGTGGGTAGAGCATCCCAAAGCTGGAACACACGCATGGGTGCTTGGTAGTGAGGGCATGATGTTTGTGAATGCAATTTTGTAGTTGAGGGAAGTATCACGTTACCATACGTTACCCAAATAGTCCTTTTGAATTACAGATGACTACTCACCCCAACAGCCAACACATGCCCACAGTGTTAGGGGAACCAATAAGTTGAAGGTGTGATTGAGGCAGCTAGCCATGAACTCCAGGCCCTTGGTACCATCAACTGAGCAAGTTACTAGGCAGGCCAGCCTACTATATATCTAGAAAAACATTTTGAACTTCTTGAAATAATCATAAGAGTAGATGACATGGCCCCGATTTCGGATGACCATCAAAATCCCCATACCAAACAGGTGTGTGGTGGTTTTCCACTTCCATATCTTTGTTTTCCAGTTTTCCTCAGAGTGTATCTCAAAAGCAGCTCCTCTCCTGTGATTTGGGATTCCCGGTGCTGCTCGGTGTGGCAGTTTAAGTGTGTCACTTGATGGAATTTTTGGGTTCATGGCATTCATGGTGTCCGCATCATGTCCGCATGTCCCGATGCACTCAGCTTGCCACACAGACAGAGGATGAGAAGAAATACTTTGCAAACACTCCCTGCTCACCTTAACTTAGAGCAGAGATGGGTAGAGAGAGCCCCCCCAACCACAACCATTGGGGTTCTATTAGTAATGAATTGCAATACAGTACGCAACATTTATTAACCAGATTTATGGTTTAGTTTGTTTTATATTGTTGATGCTTCCCTTTCCTTCTTTTTCAAGTCTCCCTATTCCAATACACAACATGCCCGAGTAACACCGTCCTGGACACGCCATCATGGGCCATCCACGCTTGAAGTCAGACCCGTAGGTCTGAAGAGCAACCTACTACCAAAGAGAGATATTTGAGTCAAGCTTGCTTGTATGGGGTCCGAACTCCACATCACCTAGATAGGTTTCTCTCCTACCCCCTACCGCGGGCATGGCCGGGAAAAGAAACAAACAAAAACACTGCGCATGAGAGCATTATGTAGCTTGCCTGGTTAGGGGAGTGATGCCCTTGGCGCCAAGCAGACTGCAAGGATTCCATATGTGTTTCGCAGTGCCAGTCACTGGGGCCTTCCATTGGATGAATGCTACCAGGCTGGGAGTCGTCGGAACTCACCAGGCTGGATAGGCGGATTTTCATGGTGCTTTCGTAGAGGCACCACAAATGGTCATACCAGCTCACATGCAATTGCATGAGAACTGGTTACTGTAAAAGTAGGTCACTAGTTGCAACGTTGGAACATCCCTTAAGGTGGAAAAGACAAAACAAGTTAAAACATGTTAAAACAAGTATAGTATGGGGATGAGTCGTGACCCACCTGCAGCCCCGACCGTCCACCTTTTGCCACCGACCGTGGTCAATAGGTCAAGCAAGGTCGACCATGTAGCTTTGACCCACTGCCATGTACCGAAGGTGGGGTGCTTTGGATGGACTTGTGTTTTTCTCCACGCCCGGTCCACACCCAGCGAAGGTCAACTTTGGCTCTTGAGAGGGTGGCCAAACTCGGCATGGGAGCTTAGTATGATGGGATCCAGACTACGTGTTCTTTGGGTAGTCAGCCGAATCAGAACATATCCAATAGAATGTGGAAGTGACTTCCAATTCCTTTTTATTGAACTTGATTGACAGACAGCGACAAAAAAAAGTTTCAAAACGAACAAATACAACAAAAAAGCAGGGTGCACCATTCACATCTATCACATCGGAAAAATACGAAAAACACATAAGACCAGACTTCTGATACCACTAATACCGCTGCTTGTATTTGTTGTGTGTCACCTCCTGTTTCAAGGGAATGACCACACCTGTACAGAATGCAGGGGGCCAGCGCATGACATCACAACGCTGGCCAACGAAGCTAGTGATGTCATGGGAAGCGGTCAGTGTACCTGCACTAACTTTTAATCCATTCTAAAGGGCTAATGCGTTTTGTTCAAACAATTCAGTTTTGCCGACCCAGCACTCATGCCGTTCCCTCAAGTCAAGGGCTACGTATTCACCTAAAGTGCTAGCTCCACGTGGAAATCACAACTGATGTAGCTCTTGCGAGCATGGATCTACGTGTGTGCCGCAACAGGGTCCCGCAGAGGTCTGTTGTGTGATCACTTCGGGGCGCGTTGAGCATAGACCCTCAAGGGGGAATTGCCAGTGATTGCCCGTTTCGCTCAAATCTCTCCTGAACAGCTGTTTGCTCGAGATCGCTGATACAAAGCTGCAGAGCCTACTGAATACGCTTCAGAGAATGACATGCCGGACAGACGCATGTCATGCTGCTAAGTATTCATTGCTGTTTTGCTTTCCTTCCTTCGGCTTCTCTTCGTTCTCTACGTTTTTCTTCGTTTCTAAAGGCTTTTTAGGTGTAACTGAGGCTTTTTAGTCAAGGGAGCGCCGGTTTCGACTTTCTGGTCAACTGCCTTCGGGCCCGAGCCGGTCACCCCACCCCACCCCACACACACGCCTGCACCCGCTTTCTTTCCTTGCCTTTTTCGATTATTTGGTCTTTCCATCAGGCTTGCCAGGTCGACTTTTGGGCTAGTTTAGTCATTAGTCATAGCACACCCCCCCGCCCAACCCCCCCCTTCTTTCCTGCTGTCGTTTCTTTTTCCTTGGCCTTTCTTCATTCTAGAGGCTTTTCAGGTTCCCCCAGAGCGCCGAATTCGGCATTGTGTGTGTGTGTCTCACCTCCGGTTTCAAAGGAATGATCACACCTGTGGAGAATTCAGGTGGCCAGCCTGGCCAGCGCATGACATCACAACGCTGGCCAACAAAGCTAGTGATGTCATGGGAAGCGGTCAGAGACGTTTGACTGCATTAACTGTCAATCCATTCTAAAGGGCTAATGCGTTTTGTTCAAACAATTCATTTTTGCCGACCCAGCACTCACGCCGTTTTAAGTCACAGGCTACGTATTCACCTAAAGTGCTAGCTTCACGTGGAAATCATAACTGATGTAGCTCGTGCGGGCATGGATCTAAGGGGAAAGGGTTTATAAAACAACACTTTAGATGCTGACCAAACCATCCGCGAAAAGGTTGCGAACCCATTGTCAAAAACGATCTATCGAAGGTCTTCCGGTTCATATTATGTTCATACAAGGCAATCTTCTGGCAGAGCCGGTGGGCGTAAGTGTTCCCACATGTCCCCACTGTCACAGACTAACGAACTGAAGCCTCAACCGCTCCCTGCCCAGCCCTCACAGTGCGTAAAGGGTTCTCCGATTCCTGTCCCATTTCCACAAGCTGACAAACTGAGAACTCAACTTGTCCTTGCGCTGCCCTGACAGTGCGTACAGGATTTTCCTTCCCCCAACTTGACTCACAAACTGCAACTGTATCACCCTTGTGCAGCCCCGGCAGCCCTGCAAGGTATGATATGCACTTTTCGTGAAATCAGCAATGAATTTTCGCGTATTCCCAAAGGCTTGTCGCACAGATGCTGCCAGTGACCCTAGCGTAGCTGTAGCAGTTCTCAGCCTTATGTGCAGGTCATGTTGCAAGATGTCAGTCACTAACTGCCGCTTATATAGACAAGAAATTAGGTAGTAAAATATACATGAAGAACATGTTACAAGGGCATGGTTTTCGCAAAAAAAATATATACTATTATTTGTCAATAAAAAATCCATCATAAAACATTTTGATCAACCACCATACAGATCTCTAACATTGGCTGTGGTAATGCATGTTTTCGGAGTGAACTTCTAGAGCCTTCCAGACGTGCCCACCCCAGAAAAGGATGATAAAACACCCTAATGAAACATCGCTTTCGGGTCATTTCCATAGAATCCAACAAACGTCCTCCATCCGAGTCCCAAGCACCCAGGCCGCAGCCGCAGCCTTGCGGCATGTGCCTGGGGCCTATCTGAGGCCTATCAGCGTGTGGTCGAGAGGATGGACTCACCAAGGTTGCGTGATCAAAGGCCATGGAAAAGATGTGTTTTCCTCTACAGATGAGGGAGTGTTTGGAAACTTCGTTTGATGAGTCGGAAGGTGAAACTGGACACTCAGGACGGTTCGTGGTCTTTTCAACTCAGATGTTCGCCAGCACTCTTTGTCTGGCGACTCTCCCGGAACGTGGGCCCCCGAAGACCAAGCCTGGTTCTCAAGTTGTGTGCCTTCATAACCCAAGCAACGTGTCAGTGAGCCCAGAGCGGTTGATGGACAGCACTTGTGCATAATATGCTGAGCTCTGTTATTCGAGTTCAGCATGTATGCTGTGGGTTCTGAAACCTTTGTGCAGCCTCA